GTACACATTCTTCCCGCAGCTTCCCAGGTATATACTATCGGTGTCAAGTAAACAGTGCGTGCATGCGTGGTATCCCTTGTTTGTCAGTCCTGAAAGGTTACGGAGAGCGGGCCAATCGTTGATGGTCACGAACAGCAACGCCTTTAGGTCAAATTCCTCCTTTTTGTGCTCATCCCATGTACGTACACTGTGTCCATTCTGCAGCTGTAAAAGTTCTTCAACTAATGGCCTTAGGTACACATCAATGTCGTTGCCGGGTTGCTTAGGGCCTTGGATGAGAATTGGCATCATAATGAACTTCCGCTTCATGCACATCCAAGGAGGAAGGTTATACATACATAGAGTCACGGGCCAGGTGCTGTGATTGCTGCTCTGCTCCCCGAAAGGATTAATGCCATCCACGCTTAAAGCAAACCATACGTTCCTTGGGTCCTTTGCAAACTCATCCCAGTACTTTCTCTCGATTTTTCTCCACTGCGGCCCGTCAGCGGGTGCTCTCAACTTCCCGTCTTTCTTACGTTCCTCACTGTGCCATCGCATCAACTTGGCATGCTCTCCGTTTCTGAACAGACATTTCAACCGTGGTATTATAGGAGCATACCACATCACCTTCGCAGGAACCCTCTTCCTGGGAGGCTCGCCGTCAACATCACCAGGGTCATCTCGTCTGATCTTATACCGCAATGCACCGCATACCGGGCATGCGTTCAGATCCTTGTAGGCACCGCGGTAGAGGATGCAGTCATTTGGGCATGCATGTATCTTCTCCACCTCCAATCCTAGAGGGCATATGACCTTCTTTGCTGCGTATGTACTGTCGGGCAATTCGTTATCCTTTGGAAGCTTCTTCTTCATTATTTTCAGTAGCTTCTCAAATCCTTTATCAGGCACAGCATTCTCTGCCTTCCACTGCATCAATTCGAGTACGGTACCGAGCTTTGTGTTGCCATCTTCGCAATTGGGGTACAACCTTTTTTTGTGATCCTCTAACATGCGATCGAACTTCAGCTTCTCCTTTTAACTTTCGCATTGTGTCCTTGCATCGACAATGACCCGGCGGAGATCATCATCATCGGGCACATCGTCTGGTTCCTCTTGATCTTCAGCAGCTTCGCCCGTTGCAGCACCATCGTGCACATCGTCCGGTGCATCTTGATGTTCAGTAGCATCACCGTATTCAGGGGGCACATAGTTGTCATCGTACTCTTCTTCCTCGCCGTCTTCCATCATAACCCCTATTTCTCCGTGCCTCGTCCAAACATTATAGTGTGGCATGAAACCCTTGTAAAGCAGGTGGGTGTGAAGGATTTTCCGGTCAGAGTAAGACTTCGTATTCCCACATATAGGGCATGGACAACACATAAAACCATTCTGCTTGTTTGCCTCAGCCACTTCGAGAAAATCATGCACGCCCTTAATGTACTCGGAGGTGTGTCTGTCACCGTACATCCATTGCCGATTCATCTGCGTGCATTATATATAATTAAGTGTGTCAAAAATCATTAGAGAACATCATGAATAGATAATTAAGTGACCAAATTAATAGAAGTTCATCATCACATAAAAACCAAAGTACATACATAGTTCTCATCTAACAACATAAAGCGTTGCAGAGCATCTAAATTAATTAAACCATACATTGAAACTATGTAAAACATTTCAATGCAAAAACAAATGCGATCATAATCGCAAACAAGGTAACAACTGATCCAACGGCATATTGATACCAAGCCTCGGTATGAATGGCATATTTTCTAATCTTTCTCATCTTCAAGCGCATTGCATCCATCTTGATCTTGTGATCATCGACGACATCCGCAACATGCAACTCCAAGATCATCTTCTCCTCCTCAAGTTTTTTTATTTTTTCCTTCAAGAAATTGTTTTTTTCTTCAACTAAATTTAACCTCTCGACAATAGGGTCGGTTGGAATTTCCGGTTCAACAACCTCCTAGATAAATAAAATCTATGTCACGTTGGTCGGCATAATTTTCATAAACAATAAATGAACCAATAGTTATGAAAAGATGATATATACCACATCCGAATCATAGACAGGACGAGGGCCGACGGGGGCGGATACCAAAACCATCGCACTATATAAGATGCAATAATAAAAGTAAGAAAATAATACAAGTATCTATCTAAACATACAAGTAAGAATATTTTTCCTTTCAGAAAGAAGATAAGAACAAGAGGCTCACCACGGTGGTGCTGGCGATGAGATCGGCGCGGGTGATCGACGGCGGTGAAGACGGGGACGGGGTGTGACGGACCGCTAAACCTAGATAAATATTGAGGAAAATGGAGCTTGACGGTCGAGCTTGAAGAGGAGAAACCTTAAGTAGTGTGGCTCGGGCATTCCATCGAACACCTTGTGTGCATAGGAGGTGAGCTAGAGCACCACCAAGCCCTCTCCCCATCGGCCAGAAAAAACAGAGCAGTGTGCTCTGCTCTTGCGCGAGGGGGTATGTATAGGCACCACCATTGGTCCCGGTTGGTGGCATGAACCGGGACTAAAGGGAAGCCTTTGGTCCCGGTTCAATGCCACCAACCGGGACCAATAGTGATGGGCCAGGAGCCAAGCCCATTGGTCCCGGTTCGTCCCACCAACCGGGACCAAAAGGTCCGGACGAACCGGGACCAATGGCCCACGTGGCCCGGCCGGCCCCCTGGGCTCACGAACCGGGACAAATACCTCCATTTGTCCCGGTTCGTGGCAGAACCGGGACTAATGGGCTGAACCGGCCTGGGCCATTGCCCCCTTTTCTACTAGTGGTGGGCCTTGAGATACCTCTCTGTCATACAGAGTGACAAATCCCAATCTTGATTCATGCCAACTCAACAGACACCCTCGGAGATACCTATAGATCACCTTTATAGTCACCCAGTTACGTTGCGACGTTTGGTACACACAAGGTATTCCTCCGGTGTCAATGAGTTGCATGATCTCATGGTCATAGGAACATATAGTTGACATGCAGAAAACTACAACAGTAAACTTGATACGATCATATGCTGCGTTTATAGTCTGGGTCTTGTCCATCACATCATTCTCCTAAAGATGTGATCCCGTTATCAAATGACAACTCATGTCTATGAAACCGTAGCCATCTTTGATCAACAAGCTAGTCCGATAGAGGCTTACTAGGGAGATGTTGTTGTCTATGTATCCACACATCTATTTGAGTTTCTGGTCCATATAATTATAGCATGGATAATAAACGATTATCATGAAGAAGGAAATATAATAATAACCACTTTGTTATTGCCTCTAGGGCATATTTCCAACAGGCGCGAGGCCTGTTGGTGGGCGACCTTTGTCCCGGGGTGTATGCGGCCGGGTAGATTGACCCGTGTCCAGATCTTCTGAATCTAGCTCCAGCAGTCCGGTGTGTGGCGTTGAGCTTGGAGTCCGAAGACGACATCCATAGGTAGAGGCGTTGGGCGTGGTAGCGGTGGTGCAGACCTGAAGGGACAACGGCGGAGTTTCAGCGGCTTGGTTCCGGTAGGTGAGGCATGGTGGTAGAGGCGACATTTCTTCACCTGGATTCGGACGGTGTTGTCTTTGACCTAGGGCTCGCGCTTGGGCAGACCAAATCAGGGCCCGAGGCGGGTCGGTGCTCTTGTTTCAAGTAAGGGTGGCTAGGCTTAGTCCGGATAGTGAAGCAGGCAGCGAGGTGTCCCTCCTCGTGGGCATGGTGTGACGTGGAGGTGGTCGTGCCATCGCTACATCGTCGAACAAATGGATGACAATGACCACAGACGTGGCGTCGTGTGAGCTTGGCTGGGACAAGGCCACGGGCTATGACCGGGGCCTGCTTCACGGCGGCCATCGGTAGCCACTGGATCCCTAGTCCATCGGGATTGCCTAGGGACGGAGGCGTTAGCACTTCCTACCATGGAGGTGCTGACCAGAACAAATGGCTAATGCTGGGCTAGGAGCCGTGGGGGTGCCTTCACTTCTACTACCGTTGTTGGTGCGTTGTGAAGTGGGAGGTTGGCGGTGTTTCGGACCTTGAATACCGGGTGGCCGCTCCAGAAGGCGGTCTACATGGTTGGCTGTACGGTGTGCGCCATGGCGACAGTGGTGGTTTTCCCCCTTAGTCGTGTGGGCAGTGAGGGGTGGAGTGACAGGTGGCTTGGGCATGCTCTTGGTCTCTAGCTATGGCGGCGTCCCGATCCGGCTGGAGGCCTCGTGGTGGCACGGAGGAGCAGCCGAACGAAAGCTCTGCTCTTTATCGCCACCGACGGCGATGCTTGTGGGTTCCACTTTCTTCTTGAAGACTTTGTTGTAGTGCTCCTCTCCATGTCCGAGTTTCGGGTGTAAACCTTTGTCCGGTGAAATCAACAGTGGCGACGCCTAGCGCCGTTCTCCCTCATGAGGAAGTTCTTGTGGAACTTAGGTGTTATAGGGCGTAGCGCGGGTTTCGTTCTTCCCGTGCTTTATTTTGGTAGCATCGTCCTGTGCGTCATGCATGATCCGATTGTCTTTAGATTAGGCTTCCACATCGCTTTGTACCGTTCGGTCGTATAATTTGTCCGTGTTGTTGTTTCATATATAAAGCGGGACGACACCTATTTCGAGACATCTTCACGTATGTACTTTCTATATCAAGCTTTGTAGGTTTTGGATCCAGCCGCATCGTCGCCGTCTAAACCGTGGATATTAAAAAAAAGAGGATAAACCTCGGCCTCTACATCAGAATGATTGGTTAGACTTTGATTGGTTAGGCTTGTCTAAGTCTAAGTCTAAGCCTAAACCGTGGCTTAGACTTTTGATTGGTTAGGCTTGTCTAAGTCTAAGTCTAAGCCTAAACCGTGGCTTAGACTTGTGATTGGTTAGGACTGTCTAAGTCTAACTCTAAGCCTAAACCGTGGCTTAGACTTGTGATTGGTTAGGACTGTGTGTATATATACACAACCCATGGATCGAATAGAATGCCCTCTAAACCTTGAGTACGTGGTGACCAGTGACTCACTGACAACGTACGGCCATAATGAGCACGGCGCTACTTCGGCTAATAGCTCTGCTGTTCCTCCTCCCGCCTCCCCTCCGCCACTACCTCTCGCCAGCAAGCGGCGGCAGGGCCAGCCAGCTCAACGTCAAACACCCCATCATCCTGCTCCCCGGCTTCAGCTGCTCCAACCTCGAGGCGCGGCTGACGGACGAGTACGCGCCGTCGCAGCCCCGCTGCGGCGCCCTCAAGGGCCAGGGGTGGTTCCCGCTGTGGAACGACACCTGGGCCATCGTCAACCACGACTACCTGCCCTGCTTCGAGGAGCAGATGAGCCTCGTCTTCGACCCCATCCTTGATGACTACCGCAACATCCCCGGCGTGGAGACCCGCGTGCCGGACTTCGGCTCCACCCACGGCATCACCTCCAAGAACGACGCGTAAGTGTACATGCACTACGTACTGGTACACAAACTGTGAATTGATTATATGCTCGTGATGTGCGTCCAGGGGTCGCAACGAATTCTGCCTGATAAAGCTCCGCGACGAGCTGGAGGCGCTGGGTTACCGCGACAGGGACACCCTCTTCGGGGCTCCCTACGACCTGCGGCACGCCCCACCGCCGCCCGGCCAACCATCCCGGGTCTACTCCGACTACTTCGCCCGCCTCGTGGAGCTGGTGGAGCACGCGAGCGACAAGAACGGGGGCAAGCCGGCCATCCTCCTCGGGCACAGCTTCGGCGGCAGGGTCCTCCTGGACTTCGTCACCTCCACGCCCCTGCCGTGGAGGCAGAGGTTCATCAAGCACCTGTTCCTCGTCTCGCCCACGACCCCCACGGGCTTCATGCTCGCGCTCACCAACCTAGCCTCCGGGTCGTCAGTCGTCCAGCTCCCCACCGTCTCATCGCTCGCACTGAGGTCCATGTGGAGGACCTTCGCCAGCTCCCTCCTGTCCATGCCGGCCCCTAGGGTTTTCGGCCGCAGGCCGCTCGTCATCACCAAGGAGAGGAACTACTCCGCCTACGACTACCCAGATTTCCTCGCGGCGCTCGGTTTCAGCGCCGATGGGATCGTGCCCTTCGTGAAACGGGTGCTCCCCACGATGGTGCGCATCGACGCGCCGATGGTGCCGACCACGTACATCAACGGCGTCGGTGTCCAGACGGCGGAGCAGGTAATGTACCTGGATGGTAACTTCGACGTCGCCACCGAGACCGTATACGGCGACGGAGACGGGACCATCAACGCGGCTAGCATTTTGGCGTTTGCCAAGGAGGTGGGCACGCAACATCGCCGGAATAATGACATACCCTTCAAGTTCGTTAAGATTCCTAATGCTACGCACGCCGGTATTGTCATCGAGAAACATCCGCTCGCTAGAGTCATGGCTGAGCTTCTGGAAGCTAATTCTTGAAGAGTCGCCATGTGGGTTACTATTTGTTTTTCCACACTTGTTATGTATGTTACCGATGTTTATGCTACTATCATTCGCAGAAAGAGAGAGAGCGTAGAGGTGCTGTGCTATCGATGTTTATGCTACTTGTTATGGATGTTTCCGTACTAGTTATGGATGGATGTTATCGTCGTTAAGTGTAGAAATACAAAAGCATTTAGATCACTAAATTAGTTATCTAAACGCTCTTATAGTCCCTCCGTCTCAAAGATACACATTTTAGTATTAGATACATCCGTATTTAGATAAATTTAAGACAACTAATTTGAGATGAAGTTATATTTCTTTATTGAGGGAGTACTATCATAAGAGAGAGAAGGCGTAGAGTACTATCGATGTTAATTAATGCTACTTCTTGGGTGTTCTTCTTACTCATCGCGTTAAGAAACTACTTGCTACCATAATGCATGCTGGGTCGGCCTAATCGAGCACATGCTTGCAGTTCCTCTCCCGCAGCAGAACAAAAAAGTGCTCCATGCGTCTGAGGGAAGATCTATTTCATAATAAAAGCACAATAGGTTTTCCTTGGAGGCATCACGTTGATCTACATCATTATAATTATTTCGACCATTTGTTTTGCAATTTAATAGATCACAGCCACTAGATCTACATAAACATACATAAAGAGATTGTACCGTTGGATTTGCATTATAATGCCTCAATAGATCATAAC